ATGAATATAAAACACAATTGAATCTTAAAAGGGCTAATATTGCAATTATATGCGATTTAGCTTAAAAATACTAAATAAATTTATAAAAATATGCAAAGAATTACCATAGCTATATCTTAGCATAAATATAAAATTCCAATAAATGAATTACCAAAATGATAATTTTGGAAATAATTATTGGGTTTCTATGGATGAAAAAGGGAAATAAATCAGTTTAAAAACCTTAAAAAATTATGGGAAAAATAGCAAAATGCTTGGACATACTTATATATGCATATATAGGCTATTTTAAAGGTATTTTGCATATAAAAAATATACAGGGAAAAATTGGGTATCAACACCATACAAATGTTATTTCTCTCCTTTTATAGCTATTTCTAAGTACTACATTTCTTTCCTCTCATAATAGAGCCATTATAAGCAATTAATGACATTAATGTAACGTTATAATTGACAATCGTAACTGTTTCATGAAGATTCTATAACGTTTCCTCTCATTGATGCTCATTAATTGCAGATAATACGTATATGTACTTTTTGCTAACTAGGTTCATTCCTCCTTCGTCTCTTCAAATCATTAAGATATTCCATTAACCATTCCTTTTATTTTATTGAATCTTTGCCCGTGCCTGTTAAGGTTCGCGACTCTTTGAATACTCTTTGCCATCTGTCCTTCTTCCATTAATCCACGTGCCTTGACATGTCAGCACATAATTAATTCCAAATGTTAACTTGATTTTCCCCAATACAGTATGAAAGTTGAAAAATAGTTGTATAATATATGAATCGTTGTATGAAATTTGTATGTAAGTTATAAATACTATCTTTTTACATAAAGTTGTTCATATATATCAAAATTGTATTGAAAGAGGAAATTGATTGAAATTTCAGAGAGGACGAAGAACACACTACATACAAAACATAACAAATCTTTTATAAAATACATACAGAAGACATATTGTATAAAATTTGTATGAAAATTGTATTTAACTTAAATGATATTGTAGTTGTATTTAACTGGGTAAAAATGATGTATGAAAGTTGTAGATAAGTTAGAAATAAGTTGTATATTACATAATTAGTTGTATAAAATTATTTTTAGTTTATATTGCTTCTACTAGATTCAGACGATCCAATGGGAGTCCTGTTCTGCATTGACAACTATTCTTTAAGAGCGGAGGAGTATACATGGCTTTAACAGTTCTCTGAGCAATATAAGAGTGATAATTCTTTGTGGTTATGTCACGACCCAAAACTTGACCTGTCGTGATGGCGGCTAACATGGTACTAGGCAAGCCGACAACTCAGACATTACCAACACTTTCAAATGAAAAACATACTAAAACAGATTTAAATAATTAAAACTCTCATAAACTGGATAAAAGATCATATCTCAATGTGAAAGTTCCCAAAACCAGGGTGTCACTGAGTACATGAGCATCTATACAACACAAATCTGAAATATTGTCTAAGAAAACTGAAACTCAATAAATAAAGCTGAAAGATAGGGGAGGAAAGTCAAGGTCTGTGGACACAGGGGCAACTACCTTGAAATTTGAGCTGCTCTAATAGTCAATACCCACCGTGTTCAGAAACACCTGGATCTGCACACAAAGTGCAGGGTGTAGCGTGAGTACAACCAACTCAGTAAGTAACAAGTCTAACTATTGGGCTGAAAGTAGTGACGAGCTTTGCAGATATAGTTCAATTACAGAATAACAGTACAGAAATGTAGGCATGCTGTCAAGTTTAACAGTTATAGCCCAAACAGGTAAATAACAACAAGTTCAATTGAAACAAGATATGGTGCACCTCGATATCTACATGACAGTTATATATGCCGACTAAAGTACAAAATAGTAATGAAATTATATGCATACTCTCGGAGTATCAATCACTCAGTCCTCCCATTCACTCCATCCTCACAGTCGCTCATTCCTCACAGTCACTCCATCCTCACATCCACTCAATCCTCCCAGTCGCTCGGCACTCGCGCTCGACACTTGCACTTGCACTTAGTAGGTACATGTGCTCACTGTGGATGTGCAAACTCCGGAGGGGCAATTCCAGCCGAAGCACTATAATAAGCCAATCATGGCATGAATCAAATAAACATGATGCGGCGTGCAGCCCGGTCCCATAAATATCCTGACAATCAGGCTCTCGACCTCACTCAGTCATCAATCTCTCTAGTCTCTCGGGCTCACAAGAATCATGATAATCAGCCCAAACAATGATGATATAATATATCAATAAAGGACAATAGAGGCTGAGATATAATATGAAAATAATAGCTGTGCGTGAGTACAAAATGGCAAATTAAGAAAATAATTTAACATGTAACACGATCTCTGTGGGTCCCAACAATACCAACACGTAGCCTAAGCCGGATTTCTAACATGACTGGCAGCTAAATTTCTCTAACAGATGGTGAAAATACGGATGACGACAAGATTAATCAACTATACAGTTCCACGGAATCGATCAAGTTAAAATTCTTATGGTGCACGTGCACACGCCCGTCACCTAGCACGTGCGTCACCTCAACACTAATCACATAATAGTAATTCGGGGTTTCAAACCCTCAGAACCAAGATTAAAAGTGTTACTTACCTCAAACCGTGCAAATCTCTACTCCGACACGCCTTTGCCTCGCGAAACGGCCTCCGAATGCCTTGAATCTAGCCACAAACAATTCAATACAATCAACACGAGCTAAAGAAATCAAATCCATAAGAAAATACTAAGTTCTTAGACAAAAGTCAAAAAGTCTACTCAAAGTCGAACCCCGGGCCCACGTCTTGGAATCTAAAAAAAGTTACAAAATTCGAAAGCCCATTCAACCACGAGTCCAACCATACAAGATATACCAAAATCCGGCACCAAATCGTCATTCAAATCCCCAAATTAAACTCCCCAAATCTCTAGCCTCAAACTCCCAAAATTACACCTCAAAAATACACAAACTAGGTGGCAAATTCAATGGGGAAACAAAATTATCGAATAAAAATGACCACAAGTGACTTACCTCAAGAAACCCCTAGAAATCCCTCTCAAAAATCGCCCTAATCCGAGTTTGCAATGTCAAGAAATAATAAAACCCTCGGCACCTAACATTTATAATTTGCCCAAGCTTTTTGCACCTGCGACAACTTACCCGCATCTGCGGCTTCACAGAACCGACAACTCTCCCGCTTCTACGGTAAATCACTAAGGACCGACCTTTGCACCTACGAAACACTTTCTGCTTCTGCGCAAATGCAGGTGCGACCTCACTTCCGCTCTTGTGCTGCTCCCCGATTCTATGCTCAACTTCATCGCATCTGCGACCACGCAGGTGCGGACAACCCTTCGCACCTGCGACCACTGCACACCCCTCTTCTGGCCCCATCTGCGCTCCCCTGCTCAGACCTACGAGCTCGCACCTGTGATCGAAACTCTGCAGGTGCGATTGCACCAAAACTGGTGAGCTTCAGCAGTCTTTCAAATTCCAACTTGATCCGTTAATCATCTGAATTCCACCCGAGGTCTCCGGGACCTCAACCAAATATATCAACCAGTCCTAAAATATGATACGAACTTAGTCGAGCCTTAAAATCACGTCAAACAACGCTAAAACCACGAATCGTGCATCGATTCAAGCCTAATGAACTTTGAACTTCTAACTTCTACATTCGATGCCGAAACCTATCAAATCACGTCTGATTGACCTTAAATTTTTCACACAAGTTACAAATGACACAACGGACCTAGTCCAACTCCCGGAACCCCAATATGATCCCGGTAACCACAAAGTCAACTCTCGGTCAAACTTCTAAATTTCCAACGTTCGCCATTTCAAGCCTAATTCAACTACGGACCTCCAAATCACAATCCGGACACACTCCTAAGTCCAAAATTATCCAACGGAGCTAATGGAACTATCAAAACTCCATTCCGTAGTCGTTTATACACAAGTCAACATCCGGTCAACTTTTTCAACTTAAGCTTCCAACCTTGAGACTAAGTGTCCCAATTCATTCGGCAATCTCCCCGGAACCGAACCAACTACACCGACAAGTCATATAGCAACTATTAAGCATAAATTGAGCAGTAAATGGGGAAACAGGACTACAACTCTCAAAACGACCGACTGGGTCGTTACAGATTATTTCCAAATTACTCTTATTCTCTTGTCGTGTGCCGTTACTATGTTGAAAATGAGGAACATGCTAAAGATATAAAGACAGAAAATTTAAAAGCTTCTGCAACAGATCTCATGAAGCAGACATTGATGTTACATCCTTCGGTCTTGAAAAAGTTAGTGTCGAAGGTACCCTTGAGCGATAAAGCCTGGACTAGCATAATCAAGCACAAGCTCTTTCGCTCTGATCAAACAGGAACAAACAGAGAACGCAAACGCGCGAGCCACTCTATTTGGACCTATGTTGCACGGACTCTCCAAAATGCTGCCGCATCCGTGTCGGATCCTTCAAAAATACATTACTTTTGGAGGATCCGACACGTACCCGACGACATTTTCGGAGAGTCCGAGCAACATAGATTTGGACCTTATAGATCTGGACATTAGCTAAAAGAACTTTTTGATTTGTTGTTTGTTAGGCTGGTTCGATGATGGTTTTTGGTATATTCACTTGATTAACCCTTTTTAAAATATATGAATGAGCTACATACACACACAAGTTAAAGCCCCTAATTTAAGGCATTAATGATGGATAGTAACCGGAGAGAGGTGGCAGAAAATATGAAAAGAGAAGAGGAGAGAAAAAAAGGAAAAAAAGTGTAACTTAATCTCCTAATTTAAGACACTAATAAATTGTAAGTAAACCTTATTTAGGTCGGGTAATTTTCAAAACAAAGACAATTTTAATAATAAGATTTATATAGTGTATATGAGAGAAAAAATCTCAAAAAAAGATATCAACGATGGCCTAGGCCCTCCAACATGGGTATAACGATCAATATTATCCATTTTCTTGCATTGTGATCAAACCCAGACACGTCAACTAGGGTATGAGAAATCAAATTGGGTTGGGGGACCATACCTAAAAATCATGCAGAGGTCACGTGTCAACCATCATCTGAAATCGGATAACGCATTCTTCTTCTTCAGTCCCTAGCAATATCTCTATTACTGTACCTAGCAATAAGTACTGAAAGTGCTACTCTCTTCTGCTTAATCAAAAACCCAGATAATACTAACTGAATTCATCGCCCCGCTCATATTTTACTATTGATCCAGTCATCCAGAAATCTCAAGCTGCTACCTTGTGTAATTTACAAGAATGGCGACTCTTTCCATTTCACCAACAGTTGGAACAACTTTTCCTTGCCCCCATAGCTACCCACCTGGTTCCTCTTCGTACACTTCTTCTTCAACTTTGTCGCTAACATTGTCAGCAAGCAGTTCAGGATTTTTAAATTCAACTTTCAAGAACAATGAAATTCGTGCTCCTATGAAGAAAATTGGGACAAGATCGTTTGGGATTCGTATGTCCTGGGATGGTCCACTATCTTCCGTCAAACTCATCCTCCAAGGCAAAAACCTTGAGGTTTAACTTTCTGCCCCTTTATTCTGTTATTTAAATCCTCAAGTACTTCAATATGAAACTGTTGTTTCCACACTTGATTGATTTTGAGTCTACTCCTCTGTCAGACAATATTACACTATTGTTATTAGGGAAATTCCCTTACATTTTTAATTATAGATATTGTGACTTAGAGTACGTTATTTAGGTTTTAAGTATGTAAGTTTAATTAAAGAATCTGATGTCTAAATTGATACTACAAAAAAAATTACTTACTTGTTTGACTCATATTTGGAACCCCATTACGAAGTACAATAGTTACTTCACAATGAAACTAGAAGCTTTAACAGATTGATCGTTTAACTGGAAATCTTGTTTCCTTGCTTAAACATGTTCTTGAATGTGAAATATGGTGACTTATTGTTTTAGCGCAATTACAGTTAACGCCTGCTGTGAGGAGCTATGTGGAAGAGAAGTTGGGTAAGGCAGTTCAAAAGCATAGCTATCTAGTCAGGGAAGTCGATGTTAGGCTGTCTGTTCGAGGTGGAGAGCTAGGAAAAGGGCCAAAGATTCGAAGATGTGAAGTAAGCACCAAAAACTTGAAAATTTATTATATTGGATTTTTGTTATTGTTTACAATTTACTTGACCGGCATTCATGAACTATAGGTTACTTTATTCACGAAGAAGCATGGAGTGGTTCGTGCAGAGGAAGATGCGGAGTCGGTCTATGGAAGTATAGATATGGTATCATCAATTATACAGCGAAAATTGCGGAAAATTAAGGAGAAGGATTCAGACCATGGCAGGCATATGAAGGGCTTCGACAGGCTGAAGGTCAGGGACCCAGAATTGCTGGCAGTTCAAGAGGATTTGGGGACACTTCCCCAAGAGGAGGAAGTTGAAGATGAAGAAAGCGAGGGCTTTGTTACTGAGGTTGTCTCTGGACTTAAATGTTTTGCCAAATATTTTTTCTTGCACTCAATATATTGGTTACTACTGCTTTGACATGGCCTTTCTAGTTTATAGTTAATTGAATTCCTAGCAACAGCAAGGAGATATGCTTGTCAATTGATATCTTCCCAATCAGTAATATTCAACTGGGTAGAACATCTTTGATGTGTATTGCCTCAGTGGTATTCCTTTTTGGTGTCATGTGTTAGATGTCATTCTCTCGTCCTATTATTCTTCCATAACAGTGGAGTGGAATTAGAAACGATCGGTGGAATAACATTTGTGTATCACACCCTAGGGATGTTAATAAATAAGTCATTTCATGTGTCAGTTTATTTAATTCTAATTCCACCGTCTTCAAATTGGTAAGGTTCTTGAAGGGAACAAACTGATAGGTGTAGTAGAGTTTGGTTACACGCTTCAATGCTTCATGTTAAATGAAGAAAAAACTTTTTAAAATTGTATGGTAAAATGGTTCACCTAGAAAGCATTTGAAATAACATTTAGGAATTAAGATTTGGTTGCCTTTACAGCGGTATAAATCTTCAAGCATGTGCTTTGATGCAGTTGTACAAATTAATTTAGGGGTAAAAAATATGATGTAATGAGTTAATCCGAAATGAGGAAAAAAGCATGTAGAGGCACTTAATTCCGATTTGTTAGGAATGCCAGTCTATAGTCTTAACAGGTGAGACCTATGCCTTAAACATCCTGATTTCTGATCTTAAGTTGTGTGTTATCAGATGCACCTGTCCATTTGCCTACCTAAGGTTCCACTTTCAATTTGTTCCATTTTACACAACACTGCGACATGTGCATTAGGCTCGTCTTTCCAAGTACATGTTATTGACATTACAGGATTAATATCCATTTCAAATACAATAAGATTGTCCCTTTTCTAGAAGTGCTTTTTGTACTATAGACCTCCTTCCTTTTGTTCCTTTGACTCGTCATATGATTTGTTGATAATTACTGATAACTGCATTATAGGAAGTTCTCTGCCCCAAACTTCTTCCATTTCTTGTGTTTGTCATAAGTTTCAAACTTCCGAAGTCATTAGCAACTGACTTTATTTGTGGGACCTGATCATTTCATCTTCTAGAATATGACACTCCCCATCCGCAGTGGCCTGCTTTCCAGAACTGACCCTTTCACCTTGAAAGCGACTTTTGTTAATAATTTATCACCAGCTTAATTAATATCTAAGATATTCCAAGGAGAATCTGGAATATTCAAAGAATGGTAGAGAATTGGAAGAACTCTAGAATGAAAATTCTAGAGTGAGGAGCCTAGAAGCATTCTAGAAAGTACAACTCTAGAAATAAGTGCAAGGTGTAATTCTAGAATTAGGTAGTTGGTAACATTCTACCCCCACTAGATCCTCCATCACACCTACAAATAGAGGTGGTTCATTTGAGTTGTATGTGCTTAAGCAAGCAAGCAAGAAAGGAAGAAGTGAGCGATCAAGTGAGAAGTGTGAGAGCAAGTGAGAAATACAAAAGAGAAACAAAGAGAGGTGCTAGTGTGTGAGTGAAGGAGAAAAATCGAGTGTAAAATATTGTTTGACTGAAGCTGGTTCTTACTTTGTAATAATAATAAAATTCAAGTGGCGAGCAAACAATTGTGCTCAACAATTTTCAACAACTTTTGCCTCTGTTAATTTTGGAAGTTTTATATTCCTTCTGTTCTAATTTTGAGATAATTGCACCTTTCTACTTTAACTTTTCCAAGCAATTTGTGTCTATCAGAATCTTTTAGGATTGTTCTAAAACTTTCTATATGGCTTAATAGTGCATGAGCCTTTAAGCCATCGTCTGTGCATTTTCTATACTGAAGTTAGAGCTCTAGCTTCCCTTTAAAACTTGAAATCCTCCCACTGCCTATCAAGTGCTTGGGTGTCTTTATTCAACCCAAACCGAGTAGCCTGTGTTGTAGCCAGGTATTCTTAATCTCTGCTTGGCTTAAATGTCTTGGTAGCTTCCTTATTCACAGCATGCTTTCTTCTTAGATCTATCAAAGTATTGAAACGGTCTTTCATCTCTTTTAATTGAGCAAATTCTTTATGGCTGCTGTGCGGGTGTAAGGGACCATATTGGACTCTTCTTCCCTTTTGTGCTTTTAACTGCTTGTCCCCAGTCTCAATACTAAACAATACTCCAAGTCACTAACATAATTAACTTGAAATATAATGATCTGATGTGAAGATTTTTAGTATTCGCTTAAATGAGTATAAGCAGCCACAATAATGTTTTAGTTATAGGTTTATTGGGTCTTTGGCTAATGTTTCTACAATACTACTCATGTATGTTTCAAGCACAATGTCACACTTCAGTTCATATTTTCGTTCAGATTGTTCGTGAGAAGCTCTTTGATATGCCACCTTTAACTGTCACTGAAGCAATTGAACAGATGGAAAACGTCGACCATGACTTTTATGGTTTTCGGAATGAGGAAACTGGTACTGAGAAATAACTCTAGTCTTCAAACACAATTTTTTGTTTGCTTCATTGGTCATTTTTTTGTTTCATTTGGTTTATGATTTAGTGTGTTGGTGCAGGTGAGATTAACATTGTTTACAGAAGAAAAGCAGGGGGTTATGGACTTATTATTCCCAAGGAAGATGGTAAGACAAAGTTAGAGCCTGTGGAGGTTGAACTAGAGAAAGAAACGACGATGGCAGAATAGAAGGAATTGATGAGAAGTGATGACAGAGTACATTTACTTTGCATTACGGTCACTTTTGGAGTCAAAGAGAGAAGGTTTTCTGCTTGAGGATGTTTTTGCACCTGTAACATACTTACGGGTCTACTAATGTTCAGAAACAGCAAATGTTAATTGAGACAAGGCCAATATCGCAAAAGGAGCTTCTACATGAATGTAGATGTTTCAACCTTTAAGATTTCTGTAAAGATTGTAGTTATAATTGAAAAAGAAAAAGAAAATGTATGCACATGTTCCTGGACTAAATTTACATCCTAGTATGTGTGTCTTGGATCCGTTGGCAGGAGCCAGAACACTTATCTTGCAAACTTATGTGTTCTTGAAATGTTTCGTGTGATCACGTGTTGCTAACTTTTTGATATAATCAAATAGTATAAAAGTTCTTGACGCTATCACTATATTAAATTCAAATTATTACCATTTCCTAATAAACAATTAAATTAACTTTTATATAACCTAATTGCGTATAAGTTTTTTTTTATTTTTTTTAACTCTATCTGTGTATGGTAGAAGAGGCTTCCGCTAATATAAAGACCATACCTGCGTAAACGGTGATTTGCAGAAGTGGAGAATGCAATGCTTGTGTTTATACTTGTTCTTTGACAATAGCTAGATAATAAAGAAGATAAGTTTTGTTGTCTAGCAAGTAGAAGCTAGCAGAGATTTTGAGTAACATAAAATACGTCATTTGCTTGCTATAGGTTGACCCTCACAAAGATTATGAGTTACTTAAAACGTATAATTTGCTGTTATTATTCCACATTCATGTTACCTAATGAGAATTTAAAGGTCCTAAAAAATGAAATGCAGAATCAAGCAATAAAGTACTCACGGTCACTTATCTTTTAAGTCTTTTCCTCCCAGGTCATAAACAAATATAACTATATTATTGTTGCGGAAGATCGTGGGTTAACTAGAACACAATCACACTCAAAGCAAATAGAGAAGAAAAATTAACACAAGGATTTAACGAGGTTCGGCTAAGCCTAATCCTCGGGGCAAAAGCAGAGAGAGTTTTCCATTATGAATGAGAAGAAAAGCACAATACAATCTATATAATCCCCAACTACAACCCCTATATATAGATCCCAAATAGTCCCAAACCTATAAGAGAAAGGTTTTCCAATTTGACAAGGGCTGTAGGTTTTCCTGTCCCAAATCTATTAGGACTTTCCTAAACCTATAGGGATTATGTGTTTCCTAAAAATACAAGAAAATAATTCAAGCCACAAATAACAAATCTTCCCCTTGGCTTGAATTCTCTTCATCAACAGGAACAACGTCTCTCTACCTTGCCCTCAACCTTCGCAAGGGCTCTACCCATTGTCGCACACATCAACCAAGTCTAGGCGACGCCTAAACTTGTTAAGAGACTCAATCTCTTCAGCCATAGCACTAATCTGTCGATTTGGTTATGTACCCGGAATAGCTTTTGGATAGCTATAACACTCAAACGCATCAACGGTCCCTACAACTGCCAACACAAATCCCACAAGATTTGTATATCCAAGAAGATTCCCATCAACTACTTCTGCAAACCTTTGCGGTCGGTTGATCACTCTCTTCTCGCTGCCTGTTGCAATGCTATATGGTTGTTGTTGCACAGGTGCATCAACATTATCATCTTGATCAATATTTTGCACCTCCTTCACTTCTTCTACCTTAGAACTACTGCGCTGAGCTAGTGGAGATTCAATTTCTAGCTCTATGCGGTCACTGACACCACGATCTGTTTCTGCTATTGACTTCTCCTTCTGACTGTCTAGTGAGGCAGATTCATTGAATGTTACATCCCTACTGATAATTGGCCCTGAAGTCTTTTGATCTGTGCACCACAACCTATAACCTTTCACTCCAGTTTGCATACCCTAGAAATATGCACTTCTTTGTCTTCGACTCAAGTTTTCCATCCCTCACATGAGCATAAGCAAGACAACCAAATATCTTTAAATTTGAATAATCAGCAGACGAACCGGACCATACCTCAAAAGGAGTTTTGAACTCAACAGCCGTGGATAGAGATCTGTTGACTAAACAACAAGCTATATCGATTGCTTCAGCCCAAAAATCCTTGCTAACACATGAGTGTGAAAGCATAATTTGTGCCCTATCACAAAGCGTTCTGTTCATACGTTTTGCAACACCATCACAAGTGCGGTGTCTCACTATGCCCTCTCTGTTGCAGAAATTATTAAACTCAGAATTGCAAAATTCCAACCTATTGTCAGTCCGAAGACACTTAACTTTTCTTTCCGTCTGCCTCTCAACCATCGTCTTCTATTTAACAAATGTCGGAAATGCCTCATCTTTTGTTTTCAGAAAATACACCCATACCATCCTTGAGTAATCATCAATCAAAGTCATAAAATACCTGGCACCACTCTTGGAGGGAACTCTGTTTGGGCCCCATAAGTCTGTGTATATAATCTAACTTGTCTCTGGTCTTGTGCTCGGCCTTCTTGCTGAACTTTACCTTTTTCTGTTTACCAAACACACAATGCTCACAAAAATTCAAAACTTGATTTTTGTACCCATTCAGCAAATTCTGCTTACTCAACGAAGGCAACCTATTATCACTCATATGGCCAAGTAGCAAGTGCCACAACTGAGACTGATTCAGATCACTTTTCCAAGAAGCTACAGCAGCTTCCCCTTCAACTACACTGGCCTGAAGATGATACAATTTAGAATGCAGTTTACCCTTCATGAGTACCATGGAGCCTTTACACACTTTAAGTATTCCATTCTCGGAGTGAAACTTATACCTTTGATCATCCAAAGTCGAAAGAGAAATCAAATTTCTCTTTATCCGAGGAACATGCCAACGCTCAATGTTTCTAATAATTCCATCGAACATTCTCAATTTCATGTTATCAATTCCCTCTACTGGTAATGGATTATCATCTCTCATGTAGACAGTCCCACTCATTTGCTTGTAAGTTGCAAACCAATTCTTGTGTGGACACATGTGGAAAGTAGCACCAGAATCAAGAACCCAAGAATTCTGCCCATGACTAGAACTCACAGCACAGACTTCCCCTACATAGTCACTATCATCAAAATTATTGCCAGTGTCAATAATATTTGCCGAATTATCTATTTTCTGCTTCCCTTTTTTCTCCTTCAGCTTAGGACAATCTCTCTTGTAGTGATCTTGCTCCCCGCACTCTTGCTTCCTTGCTCTAGATTTCGATCTGGTGGTTAACTTTTTCCTGTCAAAGTCCGTGTTGTGTTCTTCCTCTACTCACAAGACCCTCACCATCAATTCTGCTGTCCGGAAAGCTTTTTTTCAAATCTGTAAATTTTAGTGCATTACTAACATCTTCCAGTAAAATACTGTCTTTCCCATATAGCAGCGTATCGGAAAAAGCATCATAAGATGGTGGTAAAGAACATAACACAATCAAGGCCTGATCCTCACTCTCAATCTTGATATCCACGTTCTTCAGATCCATTATAATTGAATTAAACTCATTAAGGTGAGTGTTAACAGGTGTACCTTCATTCATACGGAGATTGTATAACCTCTTTTTCATGTAGAGGCGATTTGTTAGCGATTTCTTAGAATACAGATCTTCTAGCTTCTTCCATGCCGTTGCAGCAGAAGTTTCTTCAGCAATTTCCTGAATAACTCTATATGTAATGCTCATGAAGATCGCACTCAAAGCCCTCTCCTTCAAGTCTGCCTTCTCTGTCTCTTTAATCTCTTCAGGAAAATCCTCATCAATTGCCTTCCATGACTCTTGTAACACCAGGGACGATTTCATCCTAATCTTCCATAGACTGAAACTAGAACCCCCGTCAAATTTCTCTACTTCGTACTTTGTTGAAGATGTTGAAGACATCTTACCCTAGATTATATGTAGAAACCTGAACCTTGCTCTGATACCAATTGTTGGGTGGGCGAACAAAGACACTCCGAACCTTGCTCTGATATAATATAAATTTATTATATTGTGGATGCCATTTTAAATAAGCTTCTTGAAGAAGCTTACCCATATTGGACTTCACTGTAAATATGTTTATTTATTTAGTACTCTATTCGAAATAAGCCTTCTGAAGAATCTTATCATTTTGGCACTCCGTTGTGGATAAATATTACTCTTGTAGAAGATTATCTATAGCTGGTACACTAACAGCTTACAAGAAGCTTACACAGCAGCTTGCAGTAGGATACAACAACTTGCAGTAGTAACTTACAAGCAGCTTTCAGTAGCAGCTTACACAACAACTTCCTTTCTTCTATAAATAGAAGAGATTTTAGTTCATTATGTACATCAGTTTGAAGTTGAATAATATATTAATCTCTCTCTATACTTGTCTTCGATTTATTTACTTTACGATTTTTATTTTATAACTCGTTATCAGCACGAGACTCTGCCATTTTGAGCACTTACTTCGAATTTAATTTCTATTTCAGTGTTCATCTCCAATGTAAGGCGATACTCTTACGTCCGTGGTTAGATCTTGTTTATTCCGAGCATCATAAGGCAGATTATATCCTTGAGGTGGTGAGCTTTTCTTCTTGGCAGTAGTGATGGGGATATCACTTACGTCCGGAGTGGCCAAATTTGTGTAAAGTAATTTGAACCTTTTGCTTATATTTGGTTTAATATCTTTATCATCACTTGCTTGGTTATGTGCTACGTGTATGTCACGACCCTAGTTCACCAACCGTGAACATGTCACGACGGCACTTGGTCCCCATGACCAGGTAAGCCTAACATTTGCGGAAATATATAATTGCGGAAAAATAGAGAAAACCAAATTAAATACATAAAGGAAACTGTACTGAATGCCGCTTGGCAAGTACAACTCAATATCACAAGTCTAAAGCAATTCCCAAAATCCGGAAACTCACGGGCAACACAGGCTACAAAAGTGTATAGTAAAGGTTCCAAACTCCAGAATTTCTAACAACCGAAAGAAGGAAAACTAAGTACTAAAGATAGAGTAAGAGGGAGACTCGTTGGTCTGCGGACGCAGCAGGTCTACCTCGAAGTCTCCGTAGTCCTCCCGCCTCACTGATAGTGCGCCTGAGTGGAGGTACCTGAATGATCTGCACATGAAAAACATGCGCAGGAAGGGCATGAGTACACCACAGCGGTACTCAGTAAGTGCCAAGCCTAACCTCGGTTGGGTAGTGACGAGGAAGGTCAGGGCCTACTGAGACAAAATATAATAATAATAATAATAATTTAACAGTATAAAAATCTGACAGATATAATAAGTACAGCAGTGAGATAAGACAAGTCAACGAGGCTATAACAACTACATGAGTACAGAATAAACACAGAGTAAACACAGCTCAATACCAATGATAACATTGAGGGTCTC